GAATTGTATTAGAACTTGCAAAACTAAATACTGATTTGGGGATGGAAAATGAAAGAGAACCTCATTCAGAAGTTTCATTTCATCTAGATGAGTTCCATGGTTCTTCCTCAAATTAGATTCAATCGAGTTTCCTTGTCCCCTTTTTTTTTGAAAAAATAAATCTGTTTGTCTATTTCATGCTTTTCTTTTCTGTATTAATATGTTGAAATTGAATACCACCTTGTTTTGTATATATTTCTCAACTAGGACTACAAATTTTTTGTACTGAAACACATGAATGCACCAACACAAAGTTCGGCACTCAGCAAAAGAAATTGGCTGTGGTTTTTTTTTAAAGAATCCAGATTGCATCCTGCTGTACCATGGAAACCACCGTCCCCAATTGCTTCAATCAACCTTGATAGCATAGAAGATGTTAGACAAGCAATAAAGAAAGGGCATTGACTTTTTCAAACACGGTATATGCTACAAAAGAGCCTTTTCAATGTTTATCACCAGTGCATAGAGCCCATTAATCACTTCTGCTTAAAAAGGAAAATATCTAGGCTTACCAGCATAATTATTAGATGGACCAGGGAAAGAATGTAAAATAAAATTGCATGCAACGTATAGGCGTAGATTTTTTTAAAGTGAATAAAAGCTGAACACCATGGATCTGTTGCAACAACATTGCAGCAACACCATACATCCTGTCTTGCAGAGAATAATTATCCAAACTAGAAGAAACCTAGAAACAGATTAAGTTGAGGATTTTGCGTCTTTACGTGTTGGGGGAAGGGAATTTACTGCCATAAAGTATGTCACTTATCTGTCCAAAATCATCCATGGTACTTAACAAGTGAAATTATGATTTATTTACCCAAAAAATAGAGGTAATATTTTTTAATTTTTCTTCTTCAAAATATGTTTGAAATTGGATAAACATGAGGATTAAAGTGTTGTTTAATGTTTAAATTATAAGGGTTGAAAGGTTTAGACTTTGTTTTTAAGTTTATACTAATGAAAAGAAATACTCCCCTAAATGGTCCCCTTAAAAAAAGCATACATCCATTCGCTAGGCTTAAGTCATTGTGGGCCATCAAAAGAAATTTCCACTAAATATTCCCCTTGGAAAAGTTGTCATTGCATACAACTCATGTCTCATGGTGTTAGCAGGGAGTGGGTAACAACCCACCTTGGCAGCAAAAGAAAGGCCAAAGCACCTTATTTTTCTCTAGATATTTTTTCTTTTCATAATCAATACCTTAAATTAATTTTTTTCTCAATTAATATCTTTTATAATTTAAAATTTATAAAAAAATCTTAAATTATCAATAAAGTCATGGTGTAAATGGAAAGTTTGACTATTAATTTTTGAGTTTTTTTTTATATAAATTTTAAATTATGAAAAATGTTAACAAGAAGAAAAATTAGTTTAGAGTGTCAACTATAAAAAAGCAATATGTAAGGTGTAAATAGGAGATTTAGTAGCAAAAGAAAAGACATATAAAATGAATGTGTACACCTTGTTTCTCAAGAAGTACTTCCTACATTTTTATATAGTATCCATGATAATTAAAAAAATTATTTGATTTAAATGAAACTACTTGATAAAAATTATGTATAGAGAGAA